ACCCATAGTTTCTATAAATATGTGGGGCACCCCATGGTTTCTATAAATATGAATTTGTGGAGCAACCCATAGTTTCCATAAATATGTGGGGCACCCCATGGTTTCTATAAATATGAATTTGTGGGGCACCCCATAGTTTCTATAAATATGAGGGGCACCCCATGGTTTCTATAAATATGAATTTGTGGGGCAACCCATGGTTTCTATAAATATGAATTTGTGGGGCAACCCATAGTTTCTATAAATATGTGGGGCAACCCATAGTTTCTATAAATATGTGGGGCACCCCATGGTTTCTATAAATATGAATTTGTGGGGCAACCCATAGTTTCTATAAATATGTGGGGCACCCCATGGTTTCTATAAATATGAATTTGTGGAGCAACCCATAGTTTCCATAAATATGTGGGGCACCCCATGGTTTCTATAAATATGAATTTGTGGGGCACCCCATAGTTTCTATAAATATGTGGGGCACCCCATGGTTTCTATAAATATGAATTTGTGGGGCAACCCATGGTTTCTATAAATATGAATTTGTTGGGCAACCCATAGTTTCTATAAATATGTGGGGCACCCCATGGTTTCTATAAATATGAATTTGTGGGGCACCCCATAGTTTCTAAAATAAATTCAGTTGGGGGATTGAGTAGGTCACTGTGAGTAGGTATATTGCTGAGGGTTGCACTGCCTTGTCCAACCGCAACTATCGTCTAACCGCCGCCAGGACAAATTCACGGTTTTCTAAACGACTTAATTTCCTGAAGTTTATTTACTTACCAGGTTTACAGTAACGAGCCTCATGTTGCCATGGTTACAGTAACGAGCCTCATGTTGCCATGGTTACAGTAACAAGCCTCATGTTGCCATGGTTACAGTAACGAGCCTCTTGTTGCCATGGTTACAGTTACGAGCCCCTATGTTGCCATGGTTGCAGTAACGAGCCTCTTGTTGCCATGGTTACAGTTACGAGCCCCTATGTTGCCATGGTTACAGTAACGAGCCTAATGTTGCCATGGTTACAGTAACGAGCCTCATGTTGCCATGGTTACAGTAACGAGCCTCATGTTGCCATGGTTACAGTAAAAAGCCTCATGTTGCCATGGTTACAGTAAGAAGCCTCATGTTGCCATGGTTACAGTAACAAGCCTCATGTTGCCATGGTTACAGTAACGAGCCTCATGTTGCCATGGTTACAGTAACGAGCCTCATGTTGCCATGGTTACAGTAACAAGCCTCATGTTGCCATGGTTACAGTAACAAGCCTCTTGTTGCCATGACAACCGCGACATCAAGTAATCCTGGTCTATAAACCTGAGTAAGCTCAGTCTTCAAACGGAAATATTTAAGTCTATCAACTTTTCCTTTACATCACTAAAAATATCTTTTATAGTTGTCAAATAGTTGTCGATGAGACAACGGAAAACGTTTTTGACATAATTTGAAAGCTTTCAGCGGCTATTAAAAATACTGAGATACCATTACAAAGCGACCAAATATATATGAATATTATATATACATACATATTATATATATATATGCAGTTTCGTCATCATACTTTGATAATGACGAACTATAACGGAGACAGGTTCAAATACGTTCCTCTTATTACAAAAGTAATAGTTTATTAACAGTTATAGCGTGAACACTCAACACCTAGCTAGTAGTTACTAGTTAGTGACAATAGCTGTGGATTCTGGTGGTGAGCTGTGACTGTGAGGCATGTTTTGTCATGACACGTGACATGTTTTGTTTTGACACGTGGCATGTTTTGTCATGACACGTGGCATGTTTTGCCATGACACGTGGCATGTTTTGCCATGACACGTGGCATGTTTTGTCATGACACGTGGCATGTTTTGTCATGACACGTGGCATGTTTTGTCATGACACGTGGCATGTTTTGTCATGACACGTGGCATGTTTTGTCATGACACGTGACATGTTTTGCCATGACACGTGACATTGATTCTGGGATTTGATTGGTCAATGGCGGAAGCGGGATTGTTATTTGTGTTGTACGTGTCGAGGTGATAGGTGCGGCCTAAAATCCGGATAAAGTATGTCTCATCTATCTCCTCTACAGGGTTTCATTCCAGGACAACTGAAGATATCAGTTTCATGTTAACTTCCGTGTTAACTTTACCTAATGCACCTACTTAAAACTGGATAGTTTTGGTATCTCAAATTATCCCGGAACTGTGAAACACAGCTCAACACCACTCCCTAGTAACACCCTAGCAACACCACTCCCTACTCCCTAGTAACACCCTAGCAACACCACTCCCTACTCCCTAGTAACACCCTAGCAACACCACCCCAACAATGCACTTCCAGAATCACCTACCATTCAGCTCTACATGAGCACTAAAAGATAATCTACCCTCAATTGTTGAGGGAAGCCCCTAAAACCCTCCATAAATCACGGAACCCCTACGAAGTGCCTAACAAGAGTGCTGCAGCAATGTTTTATGTTGCGTAGCAACGCCAACACGCGACATCAACAGCCCCGACTCTTGCGACAGATTAACCCCCCGTGTATATATAAGGGGACCACGACTCTACCGTTCTGTTTATTTATCATGAGTCCATTTATTGAGTTATTTAATTTATTGAGTTATTTAATCCCGGTGATTGAGTTATTTAATTTATTGAGTTATTTAATCCCGGTGATGAAGAGCCCGATAATTATTATTAGTGTTTCCTAGTTGAACGGAACAAGTAACTGTAACCATGGCAACAAGGCGCATCTTCTTTTAACAATTTGCAGTTTTTCCTTTGATCTGTCCCTATCTGCAGTAGAGGAAATGTTTTAAATTCTCTGCTGTCGTTTTAGCGTTAAAGGATGGTATGTGCGGTAATTCTTTTTGACTGTTTTATTACCTTTTACCTGTTACCTTTACCTCTTTACGGTATTTTTAAAGAATTTGTTTCCTGTTTTTACTTTTTTACATCCATCGTCATTAATCTATTAATCAATGAAATTTAACACAGTTGTGTTATATAATTTGTGCCTTTATCAGGTATTAAAGTTTTTCAATGTCTATAATGTGTGAGCATTACTGGGCATGATATTCGACACCAATATATAACAGGGAACACTAACTTATAGATTATGTCCAGAACTCCAAACTATTACTGATCTATTACTGATCTATTACTGATCTATTACTGATCTATTACTGATCTATTGCTGATCTATTACTGATCTATTACTGATCTATTACTGATCTATTACTGATCTATTGCTGATCTATTACTGATCTATTACTGGTTTATTACTGATCTATTACTGATCTATTACTGATCTATTACTGATCTATTACTGATCTATTACTGATCAGTAATAGATCATTAATAGATCAATAATAGATCAGTAATAGATCCGTAATAGATCAGCAATAGATCAGCAATAGATCAGTAATAGATCAGTAATATATCATTAATAGATCAGTAATAGATCAGCAATAGATCAGTAATAGATCAGTAATAGATCAGCAAAAGATCAGTAATAGATCAGTAATAGATCAGTAATAGATCAGCAATAGATCAGTAATATATCATTAATAGATCAGTAATAGATCAGCAATAGATCAGTAATAGATCAGTAATAGATCAGTAATAGATCAGCAATAGATCAGTAATAGATCAGTAATAGATCAGTAATAGATCAGTAATATATCAGTAATAGATCAGTAATAGATCAGTAATAGATCAGTAATAGATCAGCAATAGATCAGCAATAGATCAGCAATAGATCAGTAATAGATCCGTATACCAGTCTCACCTAACTTTGTACTTGTGCTGTCACTCTCAACATGACGTCTAACTGTATAGCGAATAGTGTATGCAGTATGGCAGAATAATCTAATAATGTTTATATTGGTAATTGTAAAGTTAGAGAGGTCATAGTTACTAATCGTTACTAATAGTTACTAACCGCGGTGGTTCAATATTCCCAGCTAGTTGTCAGTTATTTTAGTAGCATTAACTTTGGAGTTTAAACTCTATAAAGCTATTTCATAGTTATTATAAGACATATGTATTCGTTATGCTCCCACTGCAAAGTTGTATTTACTCTGCAAAGTTATATTAACTCTGCAAAGTTGTATTTACTCTGCAAAGTTATATTAACTCTGCAAAGTTATATTAACTCTGCAAAGTTATATTTACTCTGCAAAGTTATATTTACTCTGCAAAGTTATATTTACTCTGCAAAGTTATATTTACTCACCATCTTGGGAAACTCTCCGGATAGTAATCAGATCTGAAAGCTTTTGTAATCTTTGAGGGTACTTTGGTACGATACATTGTCCAGTTTTCAGTTCTGATTAAGCTTGTATAATTTAATTATTATTATCAAGATATATAAAAGCTCATAAACGTAGTTTATAAACATTTATATTTGAAGGCACCACAAGTAATAACAGAATTATAACCGCCATCTTGTTTATAGGTACCACAAGTAATAACAGAATTATAACTGCCATCTTGTTTATAGGTACCACAAGTAATAACAGAATTATAACCGCCATCTTGTTTATAGGCACCACAAGTAATAACAGAATTATAACCGCCATCTTGTTTATAGGTACCACAAGTAATAACAAAATTATAACCGCCATCTTGTTTATAGGCACCACAAGTAATAACAGAATTATAACATAACCGCCATCTTGTTTATAGGTACCACAAGTAATAACAGAATTATAACCGCCATCTTGTTTATAGGTACCACAAGTAATAACAGAATTATAACCGCCATCTTGTTTATAGGTACCACAAGTAATAACAGAATTATAACCGCCATCTTGTTTATAGGTACCACAAGTAATAACAGAATTATAACCGCCATCTTGTTTATAGGCACCACAAGTAATAACAGAATTATAACCGCCATCTTGTTTATAGGCACCACAAGTAATAACAGAATTATAACCGCCATCTTGTTTATAGGTACCACAAGTAATAACAGAATTATAACCGCCATCTTGTTTATAGGTATTATGATCGATAACCCAGTAGGTAACCATAGTAACCCAGTCACTATGGACGATAACTCTTCCTGGGAGAGGAGCTTGTTCACTGTGCTCGTCGGAATCATCACAGTCCTCTGCATCCTCCTCAACGCCATGGGTCAGTTTCTTATCTTATATTTAGTTACCTGGTTACCTGGTTACCTGGTTACCTGGTTACCTGGTTACCTGGTTACCTGGTTACCTGGTTACCTGGTTACCTGGTTACCTGGTTACCTGGTTACCTGGTTACCTGGTTACCTGGTTACCTGGTTACCTGGTTACCAGGTTACCTGGTTACCTGGTTACCTGGTTACCTGGAAGTTTGGGTCAGTTTGTTATCTTATATTTAGTAATCTTAATTAAAGTATGGGTCAGTTTGTTATCTTATATTTAGTAATCTTAATTAAAGTTTGGGTCAGTTTGTTATCTTATCATTAATAGTCTGGAGTTTTTCGCCAAATGGACATGGACAATAGTGGACACGATTGATTTTTCACGCCAAGCAATTCCCTAGTCCCTAGTCCCCTACACACTTTTAAAATTGATTGAATATAGAGCCTGCTGATAAGGGACTTGGTCATCGGGGAAATAAACACATTTCTTTACCATATTGCAATTGCATAATATATTGTATCATGAACGTTCGTTTAGTCGCGGAATGAGCCTCACAAGGGTATTCCGTATCCGTCATACATCGGGTAACCAGATAACCAGGTAACCAGGTAACCAGGTAACCAGGTAACCAGGTAACCAGGTTACCAGGTTACCAGGTTACCAGGTTACCAGGTAACTATTAGTCGCGGAATGAGCCTCACAAGGGTATTTCGTATCCGTCATACATCGGGTAACCAGGTAACCAGGTAACCAGGTAACCAGGTTACCAGGTTACCAGGTTACCAGGTAACTATTAGTCGCGGAATGAGCCTCACAACGGTATTCCGTATCCGTCATACATCGGCATTTGTTGTTGAATTTTTGGCTCTCATATTTTAAACTCAACACATGAGACTAAGAAATTTCAAAGTGGGTATCAAACCGGTAGGCAATGATCTAAACACCCTGAATAAAAACGGTGTAAGTGTTAAAATAATGCTAAAACAATATAACTGTTGGAAAGTTACAACTAAAACATGGTCTCGTTGTTAAACGTTAGTAGCATATAACATAACGCTCGATTCCACTGTTTCATGGTAACTAGTAGTGTTACTATGGTAACTAGTGGGGTAGCTATGGTAACATGGCGCACTTAGTAGCATAACTCTGTGGTCACAAGTCCCTGCTGAATTCCACCTACCATTATACACCCAAACAGTGGCGTAACGATGCCTGTTTGCCCCCCTTTTGGCGCCCTTCCCTAAAATTGAACAAATTAGGTGATACGCCGGTAAAATCTCTAAAAAAGTGTGTTTCTAGAGCAAAACGCGCAGTTTTGCTAGTACCTCAGTTAAGTTTTTCAAATTTGTCCCACATTCAAACGACGATTTTTCGTTACGCCACTGCACCCAAACTGCAGTGGTGTAACCATGGTAACACTGCACCCAAACGTTGTCAGCTTTAGTTAAACAGTTCATCAGGCAGGCTTTAGTTATCAGGTAGGTGGGACTTAATGAGATCAAACAATGTTCCAGATCCGCAATTAATCACTTAAATTATCAATTAACAATGTCACATCTGGTACTCTAAATATAGCAGACTCAGGTATATATTTTACACCTGTGGACAGTGTCAAAACTAAAAACAGAGAGTACTCTACTTTCTCCTTTATACGTCCCTTTATCATCCGCCCTGTCAGCCATGTGTCACTATGGCAACTCATGTGTCACTATGGCAACTCAACTTTCAGTATCCAAAGTGGTCACTCACCCTTACAACCTCTTTTAAGAAACCTCCCTCTTCCTAATATCTAATATCACTCACCCTTACAACCAGGTAACCAGGTAACCAGGTAACCAGGTAACCAGGTAACCAGGTAACCAGGTAACCAGGTAACCAGGTAACCAGGTAACCAGGTAACCAGGTAACCAGGTAACCAGGTAACCAGGTAACCAGGTAACCAGGTAGCTAGGTAACCAGGTAACCAGGTAACCAGGTAACCAGGTAGCCAGGTAACCAGGTAACCTCCCTCTTCAAATCCTCTTCCTCTCCCCTGAATCTGATGATCCCTGTGGAGGTAACCAGGTAACCAAGTAGACAGGTAACCAGGTAACCTCCCTCTTCCTATCCTCTTCCTCTCCCTGAATTTGTCCATATATCCCTTAAAATGTTATCGAAAGAATTGTTTATATTAGGTATTATTCCTCAAATATGTACATCCAGCTGAGTAGAAAACGTTTCCAAAACGTTTGTATAGAGACTTGGGCGGCGGCATAAAATTCGCCAAAGTTCGTAAATAATTTTTAGATGAATAGGAAGCCACTAGTTACCATAGTAACACTACTAGTTACCATAGTAACCCCAAAAAAATAAAAAATAACTCCAAAGTCATTGGGCCGTTACGGCCGTAGTAAATTATTTCTAACAAAATTCTTCCCGCGCCTTGCCACAAGCCTATAAAGTTCCCTTCTTCTATCTGATCCCTGTTTAACCTTTAAACACACATTGTTTGGAAATACTTTTGTGGCCTTGTCAGAGGGGCCCATATCGGGATTTATAGACTAACAAATTGAAGGATACCATAGTCTAGCTGGTGATCTCGGGTCAGAAGTTGTTACCATAGTAACGTCATTAGCCTCAGAAGTTGTTACCATAGTAACGTCATTAGCCTCAGATAGTTGACGTCTCCCCCACCTCAGCCTCAAAGAGGTCGGCTCAATTTTGTTTCAACTATGCCAGGATTGTCTCTTAATTTACGATTGAATTCTTTTAACAACGTCAAATATCACCATAGTAACACTACTAGTTACCATAGTAACACTACTAGTTACCATAGTAACACCAGCTCGCCGAATGCTAGGTCCTAATTAACTTTCATGACTTAAAGTGTCCAAATCTTGCGGGATTCCTCATTTATACTCGTGGAGAGCAGCCACTAGACCAGTCAATACTTTGTCACATGACTTTAGGTCTGATTCAGCGGCGGGGGAGGAAATATCAGGCTTTGAATCAAACCCTATGTCGGGCGAGAGAGGGAGAGAGAGGGAGGGAGGGCGGCTCTCTGACAAACCTTTTCAAGAGTGCGGGTTGTAAGTCTTGGAATGTAGTGTTACCATGGTAATTAGTACTGGGAATGTAGTGTTACCATGGTAACTAGTACTTGGAATGTAGTGTTACCATGGTAACTAGTACTTGGAATGTAGTGTTACCATGGTAAGTAGTACTTGGAATGTAGTGTTACCATGGTAACTAGTACTTGGAATGTAGTGTTACCATGGTAACTAGTACTTGGAATGTAGTGTTACCATGGTAACTAGTACTTGGAATGTAGTGTCACCATGGTAACTAGTACTTGGAATGTAGTGTTACCATGGTAACTAGTACTTGGAATGTAGTGTTACCATGGTAACTAGTACTTGGAATGTAGTGTTACCATGGTAACTAGTACTTGGAATGTAGTGTTACCATGGTAACTAGTACTTGGAATGTAGTGTTACCATGGTAATTAGTACTTGGTATGTAGTGTTACCATGGTAACTAGTACTGGAAATGCTGTTTCATTGCGCGGTTTAAGTCGTAGGAGGGAGACAGAGAGCGACAGTTTCTAACATTAGTCACAATGTTAATGAGGGAGGAGAGTGTTTGTGAAACGTATTTAAGTTAGTCACGTGATACTGATAAGTTTGCCCGCTGTTTTTACTGACATAATATGTAGACAGTGAACATATAACTATTATATTGTAACCAGGTAACCAGGTAACCGGGTAACTGACATATTATGTAGACAGTGAACATATAACTATTATATTGTAACCAGGTAACCAGGTAACCGGGTAACTGACATAATATGTAGACAGTGAACATATAACTATTATATTGTAACCAGGTAACCAGGTAACCGGGTAACCGGGTAACCGGGTTACCAGGTAACCGGGTAACCAGGTAACCGGGTAATCGGGTAACCAGGTAACCAGGTAACCAGGTAACCAGTTAACCAGGTAACCGGGTAATCGGGTAACCAGGTAACCAGGTTACTATTGTTACCGCACACGCCCTAAACCCCTTCTTAATGGTTCTCAGCTTTAAATATTAGCTCTCTTCACAGACTACAGACCTTTAATTGTACCTGGTATAGGTATAGTAACACTACTAGTTACCATAGTAACACTACTAGTTACCATAGTAACACTACTAGTTACCATAGTAACACTACTAGTTACCATAGTAACACTACTAGTTACCATAGTAACACTACTAGTTACCATAGTAGCACTACTAGTTACCATAGTAACACTACTAGTTACCATAGTAACACCTGGTATAGGGTCATTACGTTTAGTTGAACACCAGATATAATTAATTATAATTATGGGGTGAGAAAAGGTAGTCGGGCAACTGGAAAATAGGGACAATTCAGTGTCATTAATATCACTGTCTTGATGGAGGAAGAGTCTTTGTTTTTGCGTTATTGGTAGCCCCTAACTGCTCAGTAGTTCGCAATGAAACAGTTCTTGTCTGGTAACCAGGTAACCGGGTAACCAGGTAACCGGGTAACCAGGTAACCGGGTAACCGGGTAACCAGGTAACCAGGTGACAGTTCTTGTCTGCAACTCACAAGACGTCTGTCAAACGTGGAACTGATATTGTGAGTGAAACACTGGGTGAAATTGAAAGAAATTGAAAGTGAAAGTGAAATAATAATATCGGTATAGTTTAATGGATCTATGTCTTCATAGTAACACTACTAGTTACCATAGTAACACTACTAGTTACCATAGTAACACTACTAGTTACCATAGTAACACTACTAGTTACCATAGTAACACTACTAGTTACCATAGTAACACTACTAGTTACCATAGTAACACTACTAGTTACCATAGTAACACTACTAGTTACCATAGTAACACTACTAGTAACGGTATATTTTCAGGGATCTATGTGTTCATGAGGCTACCCCGCACCCCTTCAAACCTCGTGTATCTCCACCTCTGCGTAACAGACCTCATAGTGGGCCTCTTCGTCACTCCTTACAGCATTGTCATTCTTATGCAGGTTAATAATTGAAATTACCCCTATTAATATCTGTTTAACTTTCTTTTTATATTTTCTGTTTATCTTTTTCTTCAGACTTGTATTGGTTTTATCTGTTGCCTCACTGTAAGGTACCGATGTCGTCAAATCAAATTGTATCGCATTACTAATGGAGTGAAGTGAAGTTACTGTAATGGGATTATATAATATTATAAATAGTTATACTAAAGTTCTGATCGCCATATTATAGTGTAGGTGGCATTTAGAATCCTTAAAGGGGGGGGGGGGGGGGTTCCTTAAAGGACACACATTTTATTTTATCGCGTTATTAGTGAACACTACTAGTTACCATAGTAACACTAGTGAGCAGGAGTAATACACTAGTTAATAAGGATGTGGTTAAAGCTATTATCAATTATATCATATACTGTTACATTCAATTTACCATATATATCGCAATCTACCATATATGTCGCATCAAACGGATCAATAGAGATTTACCCAAGAAAACATATATTATATAACCTTTATATGACAACCTTATCGGACAATGCGTGAACGGACATTAAAATAAACGCTCAAAAGCATTTCAAAATCTTTTTTTTTGGGATTTCAGAGTAACTCAGAAAAATGAACGAGGAAGCCAAAAAAGTCTTGCTGTGATGTAGCTAAAACTTGCTACTTATAATTAAAGCACAACAAAAACCATTATAATTTTCAAACACAAGGAAAAGTTTGAAAGCTTACAATACCCCAGCATATACACACCTCCCAGGGTAACCAGGTAACCAGGTAACCAGGTAACCAGGTACCAGGTAACCAGGTAACCAGGTAACCAGGTAACCAGGTAACCAGGTAACTAGGTAACCAGGTAACTAGGTAACCAGGTAACCAGGTACCGGGTACAATCCCCCCCCCCCCCCCCCCCCCCCCAGCAAATACACACCTCCCAGGGTCTTGAAGCCAAGAACGATGTGTACTGCATACTACAGGGGATCATGTTCGAGATCAGTTACACTACCACCCTCTTCATCCTAACTTACATCAGTCTGGATAGGCTGCTCGCTCTTTATCAGTGAGTTAACCAGGTAACCAGGTAACCAGGTAACCAGGGTAACCAGGTAACCAGGTAACCAGTTACACTACCACCCTCTTTATCCTAACTTACATCAGTCTGGATAGGCTGCTCGCTCTTTATCAGTGAGTTAACCAGGTAACCAGGTAACCAGGTAACCAGGTAACCAGGGTAACCAGGTAACCAGGTAACCAGTTACACTACCACCCTCTTCATCCTAACTTACATCAGTATGGATAGGCTGCTCGCTCTTTATCAGTGAGTTAACCAGGTAACCAGGTAACCAGGTAACCAGTTACACTACCACCCTCTTCATCCTAACTTACATCAGTCTGGATAGGCTGCTCGCTCTTTATCAGTGAGTTATTCAGGTAACCAGGTAACCAGGGTAACCAGGGTAACCAGGTAACCAGGTAACCAGTTACACTACCACCCTCTTTATCCTAACTTACATCAGTCTGGATAGGCTGCTCGCTCTTTATCAGTGAGTTAACCAGGTAACCAGGTAACCAGGGTAACCAGGTAACCAGTTACACTACCACCCTCTTCATCCTAACTTACATCAGTCTGGATAGGCTGCTCGCTCTTTATCAGTGAGTTATTCAGGTAACCAGGGTAACCAGGTAACCAGGGTAACCAGGTAACCAGGTAACCAGGTAACCAGGGTAACCAGGTAACCAGGTAACCAGGTAACCAGGTAACCAGGTAACCAGTTACACTACCACCCTCTTCATCCTAACTTACATCAGTCTGGATAGGCTGCTCGCTCTTTATCAGTGAGTTATTCAGGTAACCAGGTAACCAGGTAACCAGGGTAACCAGGTAACCAGGTAACCAGGTAACCAGGGTAACCAGGTAACCAGGTAACCAGGTAACCAGTTACACTACCACCCTCTTCATCCTAACTTACATCAGTCTGGATAGGCTTCTCGCTCTTTATCAGTGAGTTATTTCTGTGCTTTTTGTTATCCTAACTTACATAAAAGTACGCAAGCACCTGTTTATTTAAAACTGAGGAACTGAGAAATATTTCAGTTTGAAATTTTAATGATGTTGTGTTGTTCCAGGCCGCTAAAGTACAAGGAGCTCATGTCGGCACGTGCTGTGTTCTGGATTAACATCGGAACTTGGATTGTTCCTGTGATCAGACCAATCATTCGATACATCATGAGGTAAGTAATTGCTAATTATGACTAATTATTAATTGCTAATTATGACTAATTATCAATTTCTAATTATGACTGCTACTTTAATAAGTATTAAGGTCCATTATTGATAATCAGTAGTACAAAAAATGCAGTAAAACATAATGATCATTACTTTGGTTAACATTTGCAACTGTCCCCTTAGCAACGTTGGATGCCCATTATACATTGGATGCCCATTATCTAGAAGTTTCCAGCGTACGGAACACTGTTCTATCGCTAGTTTTGCGACTATAATTAGTAATAGTAGTAGTTTTGTAACACGTAATCATAGGTCCGTGGAATTAGTCGCCAGAACTGTTCAGAACTTTACTGGAAATTTCTAGAATTAGTTACAGTTCGAGTTTAAAACTAGTTTTGGATTGACGCGCTTTGCTTGTATGGTCTCATGTCCGGTTGTTCATACCCAAGTTACCAGTAACCATAGTTACCTGGTTACCTGGTTACCAGTTACCATAGTTACCTGGTTACCTGGTTACCAGTTACCATAGTTACCTGGTTACCTGGTTACCTGGTTACCTGGTTACCAGTTACCATAGTTACCTGGTTACCTGGTTACCTGGTTACCAGTTACCATAGTTACCTGGTTACCTGGTTACCTGGTTACCTGGTTACCAGTTACCATAGTTACCTGGTTACCTGGTTACCTGGTTACCTGGTTACCAGTGACCATAGTTACCTGGTTACCAGTTACCAGTAACCATAGTTACCTGGTTACCTGGTTACCAGTTGAACTTTGTCAACTGATAGTAGCACGGCCTCAGTCTACAACTTGCTGGTCTATTTTAAATCGTATAAATTTAATTACTGCGTCCTGTGATGTCTGTTTGAAACGTCAAAATATAATCCCTCTCAGAATTTGAAACCTTTTAATCGTAATAATTCATGATTCAGTAATCTTCGCCAATTCATCGCATATCATAGATCAAAATTTGAAGTGATCTTGCCACTGCCCTTCGTAAACCAGACAAAGCAATGTAGTAACCATAGTAACCATAGTAACCATAGTAACCATAATAACAAGTCAATGCCTTGTCTCATATTTAGACAGGGTTAGATATACCAGTTACCATAGTTACCTGGTTATTTCGCTCTCGTTCATAATCAACTGAGGTATAATTATGGAATTAGCAATTAGCGGGGGTGACATAATTAGCATGGTCACGGAACAAGATCTAGGACAATTGTTTCTTACAAGTTAGTCCCCCCCCCCCCCCCTAATTACAAGTTAGTTACCCCCCCCTAATTACAAGTTAGTTACCCCCCCCCCCCCCCTAATTACAAGTTAGTTACCCCCCCCCCCTAATTACAAGTTAGTTACCCCCCCCCCCCTAATTACAAGTTAGTTACCCCCCCCCCCTAATTACAAGTTAGTTACCCCCCCCCTAATTACAAGTTAGTTACCCCCCCCCCCCTAATTACAAGTTAGTTACCCCCCCCCCCCCTAATTACAAGTTAGTTACCCCCCCCCCTAATTACAAGTTAGTTACCCCCCCCCCCCCCTAATTACAAGTTAGTTACCCCCCCCCCTAATTACAAGTTAGTTACCCCCCCCCCCCTAATTACAAGTTAGTTACCCCCCCCCCCCCTAATTACAAGTTAGTTACCCCCCCCCCCTAATTACAAGTTAGTTACCCCCCCCCCTAATTACAAGTTAGTTACCCCCCCCCCCCCCTAATTACAAGTTAGTTACCCCCCCCCCTAATTACAAGTTAGTTACCCCCCCCCCTAATTACAAGTTAGTTACCCCCCCCCCCTAATTACAAGTTAGTTACCCCCCCCCCCCCCTAATTACAAGTTAGTTACCCCCCCCCCCCTAATTACAAGTTAGTTACCCCCCCCCTAATTACAAGTTAGTTACCCCCCCCCCCCTAATTACAAGTTAGTTACCCCCCCCTAATTACAAGTTAGTTACCCCCCCCCCCCCCCTAATTACAAGTTAGTTACCCCCCCCCCCCCCCCCCCCCCCCTAATTACAAGTTAGTTACCCCCCCCCCCCCCCCCCCCCTAATTACAAGTTAGTTACCCCCCCCCCCCCCTAATTACAAGTTAGAGAAATGTTTATAAGAAAACCAACCCGCTTAAAGGAGCAGATTTTAATAAAACTTCTATTGTTCTCAATTTATTTGACTAAGCGTTTAATAAATAGGACTCCATTTTGGGAGGGGGTAGCGTACCCCTATAATATGGGGGGGGGGTAGTGTTCCCCTATAATATGGGGGGGTAATGTACCCCTATAATATGGGGGGGGGGGGGGGTGGTTTTTAGGGTACCCCAGCCCTCATATTATAGCTGGAAGCATTACCAGGAGGAAACTAAACCTTCAGTACTAACCACTGTATGATATCACTACAAACTCATGATAAAGCTTACCTAGGAAGTATCAATATTATTCATTAATGTTATTATTTAATGTTATTAATTAATGCTATTAATTAATGTTATTAATTAATGTTATTAATTAATGTTATTAATTAATGTTATTAATTAATGTTATTAATTAATAAAATGTTGACTCCATCTTACTTTCAGAGTCTTCGGCCACTCGTTATGGACGAATGATGGGCTTCCTCAAAAGTATGGGTATTCTAATGACAAGTACCTCATGGTCTGCTACAACACGGACTACATTAATTTTGCCAAGGTATTAATTTATAAAGGAGCAGTACCTAGGGACCCCCCAATATATTGTTCATTACCTGGGGACCCCCAGTATATTGTTCATCACCTGGGGACCCCCCAGTATATTGTTCATTATCTGGGGACCCCCCAGTATATTGTTCATTACCTGGGGATCGGGACCCCCCAATATATTGTTCATTACCTGGGGGACCCCCAGTATATTGTTCATTACCTGGGGACCCCCCAGTATATTGTTCATTACCTGGGGACCCCCCAATATATTGTTCATTACCTGGGGACCCCCCAGTATATTGTTCATTACCTGGGGACCCCCCAATATATTGTTCATTACCTGGGGACCCCCCAGTATATTGTTCATTACCTGGGGACCCCCCAGTATATTGTTCATTACCTGGGGACCCCCCAATATATTGTTCATTACCTGGGGACCCCCAGTATATTGTTCATTACCTGGGGACCCTCCAGTATATTGTTCATTACCTGGGGACCCCCCAGTACATTGTTCATTACCTGGGGACCCCCCAGTATATTGTTCATTACCTGGGGACCCCCCAGTATATTGTTCATTACCTGGGGACCCCCCAGTATATTGTTCATTACCTGGGGACCCCCCAGTATATTGTTCATTACCTGGGGACCCCCCAGTATATTGTTCATTACCTGGGGACCCCCAGTATATTGTTCATTACCTGGGGACCCCCCAGTATATTGTTCATTACCTGGGGACCCCCCAGTATATTGTTCATTACCTGGGGACCCCCCAGTATATTGTTCATTACCTGGGGACCCCCCAGTATATTGTTTAGTACAAAGTAAAACAGTGATTCCAAGTTCCAAAGTAACCAAGTCAAAACATCCTGAATGATAACAGTTAATAACATCACATTATAACATCCCCCTATTTAAAATATGAACTCGTCAAACATTGAAATTCAATAAATAATAAATAAACATACGTGCTCAATGCGCGGCATGGCACGCTTAAAATCTATGCATACTGCAGCGCGAAAAACTTTCTATAAAATTAACTTTCATTTTGCTAGTAGAAAAAGATACGTTACAGTAATTTGTCCCACACATGGCGCAAAGTGCCTCACTTGACTCCAAAATTCGAGTCGAACCATAAATTATCGGAAAATTCCAATTTGTCAACGTTCTAAAATCTTAGTACTACTGATACAAATAAATAAATCTGAAATGTAATAATAAAACATCCTCAAAAAACACGTTTCCTTTGTTCAATTCGATTTGGTAGTAAAAATTCATTCACGGTATAAATTAAATAACATACGGTAAATCAGTTTTCAGTCCTGTCTCTTACAACATTAATTCAATAGTTAAAATCGGCAATACATTACAAGTAAAATATGATGTGAGTCCTGTCTCTTACAACGTTCAGTCTTAAAATTTATAGTGATTCTGTGACATTACAATATAACCTTAAAGGTTATTTCCCTCCTAACTTATCATAACTTAGCCGGTCAGGTGCAGTAACGTGGCGTCTGGGACGTGGTTCATGCTCTACTGCAATACCGTCAGGTTTAGTTTGCTCTTGTTCAACTACTTCAGTACTAGTCTGTCCCAGACTGTGGTCTACACTATCAGGCTTGCCATTATGTAATGCCATTTCTAAACTGTCAGGTTTACCATTATTTAATGCAACTATAGGAGGCTGTACGGGTTTACTCTCGCTTTCTACCCGCTTTACCACATGGTCGAGATGCTTTCGGACTAAAGACCCCTGTCCTTCTGCTTCAATAATCACAATCTTTGATCCTTCAAGTGACTGAACGACACCTTCATTCCACTTATTGTGGCGAACATCCCGATAATACACTTTATCTCCGACGTCAAAAGATCTTAAGGGTTGACTCCGGAGTTTCTCTCGCTGTTCAGCAACTTTTTCCTCATATTTAGAATCGTTTGTGCACGGATTCAACAAACTTAACGCAGTTCTAGGTCGACGTCCAAACATAAGAACGGCAGGCTCTATCCCGGTGGTGCTGTGCGGAGTGTTTCGGTACTGAAACAACCATTGTGAGAGTTTGGTTGTGATATCCCCCGGATGATCAGCTGTCATTTTCTTAATAGCACGTTTAAATTGAAGTACCTGATTCTCAGCTTGGCCATTACTACTGGGATGGTAACTGGGAATAGGGACGCACTTGATTCCGTTCTTCGACAGAAACGTTACAAACTCCGTAGAGCGAGATAACTGCGGACCATTATCCATTACACAAACCTTTGGGAGTCCAAAACAGGCAAATAACTCCCTCAATTTCTTAATCAGATTTGCAGCCGTCGTATTTTGCTTCATGTCTTTCACTTCCAACCACTTGGAATACGCACACACGACAATTAACCACATAGAACCCTGGAAGGGACCAGCAAAATCCAAATGCAGTCGTTGCCATGGTTGATCTGGAACGTCCCACGGGTGTGGAAGAGCTTTCTTCGGCAGTGGCTGTACACTTTGGCAACTCTTACACGTCTTAGACACTTTCTCTATCTCAGCATCCATCAGCGGCCACCACATGTACCTCCTGGCCATGTTCTTCATAGCTGATGAACCCATGTGGGTGCTGTGTAATAGCTCCAGAACGTCCGGTCTCATTTTAGTTGGAATGATAACCCGTCCACCCCACATCAAGCATCCTTTATCCACAGAGAGTTCCGTCTGTTTCTCATAATACGGTTTAAAAGCAGCCTCGAAAGAATCTCCCGAAATTGTCTTGTTCTTAACAACTTTCGGTCTTTTAGTCCATCCCTCCAGAGTAAACATTATAACTTTAGCAAGTAACGGATCTGTTCTCGACATCTTAGAGATCAGTGCAGAGTTCAACAACGGCTTATCCTCTCCAACAAAGACAGTGTAAATTTCATCTTTACACGTTTCACACTCATTTACACCGTCACAAACTAGACTGTCCGGGTGTGTACTAGCAGGTGTGTCTTTGATTTTCAATGGGAAACGAGAGCATACATCAGCATTTGCATGCTTTCCAGTCGGACGGTATGATATGGTGTAATCATAATTAGCTAGAATCAAAGCCCATCTTTGTAATCGGCTAATCACCATCTCTGGAATACCCTTGTTTTGATGCAGAATATATTGGAGAGGTTTATTGTCCGTCACCAACTGGAAGTGGACCGCGTAAACATACTTGTGGAACTTCTTTAGGGACCAAATAATCGCTAACGCCTCTCTGTCCAATTGAGAATACCTCCTCTCCGCATCAGTCAATGTCCTACTCACGAATTCAATCGGTTTTTCTGTACCATCAGAATACTTATGCGATATCACCCCACCAAGACCAACTGAACTTGCATCACAATCTACTTTTAGAGGAACAGAAGGATCGTAAAACGCAAGTACTCTCTCAGACGTTAGCATTTCCTTCAATTTGTTGAACGCTTCTTTCTGTTCTTTCCCAAATACCCACTTTGTCTGTGCCGATCTGAGCTGGTTGAGAGGTTCAATTACAGTCGACATGTTAGGTAGATACCTGGCGTAGTACTGCACGGCTCCGAGGAACGAAACCAGCTGTTCTCTCGTTTCGGGAAATGGAGCTTTCACCAGAGTCTCCACTTTTGAGCTGACAGGCTTTATCCCTTGGGCAGACACCACGTGACCCAAGTAAATCACCGAAGGTTGCATGAATTCAGATTTGTCTAATCGGCAGCGAAATCCAGCGTCCTCCAGTCTCTTTATCACCTGTCTGACATTTGACATGTGTTCCTCGTCATTAAATCCCGTTATCAGAATGTCATCCACCCGGCAACAGGTTTGACGAATCCCTGTCAGTACTTCATCGATTGTAGCTTGAAATTGAGCTCCAGCTGAGTTGATGCCAAAAGGAAGGCGTGTCCACATTAGTAAACCAAGCTGAGTATTCAGAGTCGTCAGAGCTTGATCACATTTCCTTAAGAGTAAGCTGTTGTAGGCACTCTTAATATCAATCTTCGAGAACAGTTTTCCTCCAACCATGCCAGCAAAGCATTCATCAACTGTCGGAAGAGGGTAAGTCTTGGTATCTAGTGCAGGGTTGAGTGTGGACTTGTAGTCTCCACACACACTGATCGTTTTATCTGGCTTGGCCACCGGCACAATGGGAGAAGCCCACTCTGAATTGTCAACAGGAACCAGCAGGCCCTCTGCTATCATCTGTTTCAATGTATCTTCTGTTTTCCCCCTAATCGAGAAAGCTGTCACTCTAGCTTTGCAGAACTTCGGCCTAGCTCCTTCTTTCAGGTTTAAACGGGCCTCGTACCCTTTCACAACTCCTACTCCAGGCATGAAAATGGGACTTTTCTTCATCTCTTCTGCAAATTTCTCATGACATTCACTAGTAGATACAGTTGCCGCATTAACCAGCCTACCGAACCACTCTGGCCCGAAAAGTCTCTCGATCCAGTCCCGACCCAGCAAGGTAGGAAAGCAAGAGTCCACCACATGCAAATTCATCTCTCCATGAGATGTGCCATTAAATTTGACGGATGTTTTGGCAATCATGCAAACGTTAACTGTTTGACCATTGGCTACACAAAGAGTTTTAACACTATCTATCAACTTGCAATCATTCAAATTTAGCTGTGAAAACTTAGGTTTAGAAATACATGTTAAAGCAGCACCAGTGTCTAATTCAAACTCGACTGGTTTCCCATTTAGTAATAACAAAATCATGGGTTTTCTACTTCGAAAATGACAAACCATATCACGGGATTCACAAACAGAAATTTGATTTTCAGAACAAACTCTACTCGACACAGTCGACATACATTCTACTGTACAATCATAACTTACAGCAGATTCAGCTTCACTCAAACTCGAACTCCCCATGGAGTTGGATGAGTCATTCTCGTCATGAGAATGTTGGAAATCAGGAGCAGAGTTCCCCTTGAGGGGATAGTTGACTGGATCAACAGGTAGATAGATGCAAGGTTCAGGTGACAGATCAGGATTACATATAACTGGAGAATCCTCCGATAAAACATCCACTTTCATCATATACTCATGTTCCTGATCCCCGTAAACATGTTCCTGATCCCCGTAAACATCATCATCATCTGCTTCACCCACATTGTTCTGTTTTGGGCGTTTCCCCTTTAAACAGTTTGCTCTGATATGACCGGTCTGGTGACAGTTTCTACATTTCACTTTGCAATCCGGAGCCTTATGGCCCTTCAATGTACATTTTGAGCAAACCAGTCCTTTATCACCAGGGCGATAACCTTTCATCTGACCTTGTTCCGATTGTCCCCCATAATGGTGTTTTTTATGGACAAAATGAGCAGATGGTGCTGACCCGTAACCTGACATGGCTGAATTAGCTGTCATCGCGTTTTCTTTTGCTATAGCTGCTGTTAGGACTTTTGCAGATGTGTCCAAGTTTGCTTTAGTTAGCAAATAAGATCTGATATTCGAATCTCTCAATCCATACAGAAAACGGTCCTTGACCATACGGTCGTAAAAAGTTCCGAAGTTGCACACATTTGCCTTTTCCTTGACTCGTGACATGTAAAGGCTTAGCCCCTCTCCAGATTCCTGCTTCATCAGGTTAAAACGATACCCTTCTGATACTGCATCTAACGCTGGAGCCAGATTTTCGGTCAGCAGTTTTACAAGATCATTGTATGTTTTCTTGGCAGGTTTGTCCGGTGCACAATATGATTTCAACACCTTGTACCCCATTTGTCCAATGTTCGACAACAACAACGATACTGAGTAACTGTTTTTGGCCTCTTCTTCTGTCAGTTTTTCTTGGACTATGCAACATGAAATTGCTTGGTCCAACCGCTCAAGCCAATCCTCTACGTTGTCCAGTTGCATGGGTTCTATAATCCTCGTCGCCATTTAGTACAAAGTAAAACAGTGATTCCAAGTTCCAAAGTAACCAAGTCAAAACATCCTGAATGATAACAGTTAATAACATCACATTATAACATTGTTCATTACCTGGGGACCCCCCAATATATTGTTCATTACCTGGGGACCCCCAGTATATTGTTCATTACCTGGGGACCCCCCAGTATATTGTTCATTACCTGGGGACCCTCCAATATATTGTTCATTACCTGGGGGACCCCCAGTATATTGTTCATTACCTGGGGACCCTCCAGTATATTGTTCATTACCTGGGGACCCCCCAGTACATTGTTCATTACCTGGGGACCCCCCAGTATATTGTTCATTACCTGGGGACCCCCCAGTATATTGTTCATTACCTGGGGACCCCCCAGTATATTGTTCATTACCTGGGGACCCCCCAGTATATTGTTCATTACCTGGGGACCCTCCAATATATTGTTCATTACCTGGGGGACCCCCAGTATATTGTTCATTACCTGGGGACCCTCCAGTATATTGTTCATTACCTGGGGACCCCCCAGTACATTGTTCATTACCTGGGGACCCCCCAGTATATTGTTCATTACCTGGGGACCCCCCAGTATATTGTTCATTACCTGGGGACCCCCCAGTATATTGTTCATTACCTGGGGACCCCCCAGTATATTGTTCATTACCTGGGGACCCCCCCAGTATATTGTTCATTACCTGGGGACCCGACAGTACATTGTACCTACTATTCAAATGTTCTAAAACATGATAATTGTTATTTTGTTCAAAAATGAACCTAATTCATAACAACAATAACAGAAAATTTGTACAAAATTTAGCTAAATGTTTCTAAATTTAACTAAATTTAACTTAATGTTACCAAACTCTCAGAACGCAGACAACAGTTTCTTCCCGATGATTGACATGTGCATAGTGGTGGTGGTGTGCCAGCTCACAACCCTCATCAGCTCTATTCTCGTTGTTGCGCGGGTACGTTATTTATTAGCTCACAACCCTCATCAGCTCTATTCTCGTTGTAGCGCGGGTACGTTATTTATTAGCTCACAACCCTCATCAGCTCTATTCTCGTTGTAGCGCGGGTACGTTATTTATTAGCTCACAACCCTCATCAGCTCTATTCTCGTTGTAGCGCGGGTACGTTATTTATTAGCTCACAACCCTCATCAGCTCTATTCTCGTTGTAGCGCGGGTACGTTATTTATTAGCTCACAACCCTCATCAGCTCTATTCTCGTTGTTGCGCGGGTACGTTATTTATTAGCTCACAACCCTCATCAGCTCTATTCTCGTTGTAGCGCGGGTACGTTATTTATTAGCTCACAACCCTCATCAGCTCTATTCTCGTTGTTGCGCGGGTACGTTATTTATTAGCTCACAACCCTCATCAGCTCTATTCTCGTTGTAGCGCGGGTACGTTATTTATTAGCTCACAACCCTCATCAGCTCTATTCTCGTTGTAGCGCGGGTACGTTATTTATTAGCTCACAACCCTCATCAGCTCTATTCTCGTTGTTGCGCGGGTACGTTATTTATTAGCTCACAACCCTCATCAGCTCTATTCTCGTTGTAGCGCGGGTACGTTATTTATTAGCTCACAACCCTCATCAGCTCTATTCTCGTTGTAGCGCGGGTACGTTATTTATTAGCTCACAACCCTCATCAGCTCTATTCTCGTTGTAGCGCGGGTACGTTATTTATTAGCTCACAACCCTCATCAGCTCTATTCTCGTTGTAGCGCGGGTACGTTATTTATTAGCTCACAACCCTCATCAGCTCTATTCTCGTTGTAGCGCGGGTACGTTATTTATTAGCTCACAACCCTCATCAGCTCTATTCTCGTTGTAGCGCGGGTACGTTATTTATTAGCTCACAACCCTCATCAGCTCTATTCTCGTTGTAGCGCGGGTACGTTATTTATTAGCTCACAACCCTCATCAGCTCTATTCTCGTTGTAGCGCGGGTACGTTATTTATTAGCTCACAACCCTCATCAGCTCTATTCTCGTTGTTGCGCGGGTACGTTATTTATTAGCTCACAACCCTCATCAGCTCTATTCTCGTTGTTGCGCGGGTACGTTATTTATTAGCTCACAACCCTCATCAGCTCTATTCTCGTTGTGGCGCGGGTACGTTATTTATTAGCTCACAACCCTCATCAGCTCTATTCTCGTTGTAGCGCGGGTACGTTATTTATTAGCTCACAACCCTCATCAGCTCTATTCTCGTTGTAGCGCGGGTACGTTATTTATTAGCTCACAACCCTCATCAGCTCTATTCTCGTTGTTGCGCGGGTACGTTATTTATTAGCTCACAACCCTCATCAGCTCTATTCTCGTTGTTGCGCGGGTACGTTATTTATTAGCTCACAACCCTCATCAGCTCTATTCTCGTTGTAGCGCGGGTACGTTATTTATTAGCTCACAACCCTCATCAGCTCTATTCTCTTTGTTGCGCGGGTACGTTATTTATTAGCTCACAACCCTCATCAGCTCTATTCTCGTTGTTGCGCGGGTACGTTATTTATTAGCTCACAACCCTCATCAGCTCTATTCTCGTTGTAGCGCGGGTACGTTATTTATTAGCTCACAACCCTCATCAGCTCTATTCTCGTTGTTGCGCGGGTACGTTATTTATTAGCTCACAACCCTCATCAGCTCTATTCTCGTTGTTGCGCGGGTACGTTATTTATCAGCTCACAACCCTCATCAGCTCTATTCTCGTTGTTGCGCGGGTACGTTATTTATTAGCTCACAACCCTCATCAGCTCTATTCTCGTTGTTGCGCGGGTACGTTATTTATTAGCTCACAACCCTCATCAGCTCTATTGTCGTTGTTGCGCGGGTACGTTATTTATTAGCTCACAACCCTCATCAGCTCTATTCTCGTTGTTGCGCGGGTACGTTATTTATTAGCTCACAACCCTCATCAGCTCTATTCTCGTTGTTGCGCGGGTACGTTATTTATTAGCTCACAACCCTCATCAGCTCTATTCTCGTTGTTGCGCGGGTACGTTATTTATTAGCTCACAACCCTCATCAGCTCTATTCTCGTTGTAGTGCGGGTACGTTATTTATTAGCTCACAACCCTCATCAGCTCTATTCTCGTTGTAGCGCGGGTACGTTATTTATTAGCTCACAACCCTCATCAGCTCTATTCTCGTTGTAGCGCGGGTACGTTATTTATTAGCTCACAACCCTCATCAGCTCTATTCTCGTTGTAGCGCGGGTACGTTATTTATTAGCTCACAACCCTCATCAGCTCTATTCTCGTTGTAGCGCGGGTACGTTATTTATTAGCTCACAACCCTCATCAGCTCTATTCTCGTTGTAGCGCGGGTACGTTGTTTATTAGCTCACAACCCTCATCAGCTCTATTCTCGTTGTTGCGCGGGTACGTTATTTATTAGCTCACAACCCTCATCAGCTCTATTCTCGTTGTTGCCCGGGTACGTTATTTATTAGCCGCATTGTTGTAATGTTTCTGGGGCACACATGTAATGTCCACGTTTATTGCGACAAGGATGAGAGCCTTTTTCTTGTCGGAATAAACGAAAATAAACGAAAATTTTGCCCCAGAAACATTGCGCAGTTACGTTAGCTTCTTAAAATGTTTTGTAGGTACTCTTTGATAAATATAGACCGCATAAAGCGGTACACCCTGTACATAAAGTGGTACACCCTGTACATAAAGTGGTACATACATTGGCGCTTGTTAAGACTTAGCCCAGACATGACATGACAAATTATCTAAATTTGGTTGTCTTGATCCACAATACTTGCTGGACAGTGTAGAATTACCATCCTGGCTATAGCCAGTTTATAAACTGACACTCATACCTACCTGTTCAGTTGTCTCATCGTCTTCATCTGAAGAAGACGAGTGAAAATGGAGCAAAACGACAGTCAACCTTGAGGAAATCAACTAAAGATACCACCAACATGACCTCCGTATCAGGGTTAGTGAGGCTACTGAATTTTTCCATTCACACCCTTTTGTAAAAAAGCAATAGTGAAAGGTTACGAATGGTCGTTTTTGCAGAAAAACGTTGATTTTGGCGATAGCGGTAGGTGGGTCTGAATATGTTGTGATTCCTTCCTTCCTTTCGTTAGTTACCATGTCAACTAGCCGCTTGCAGCGCGCAATTTTTGTACATTAGGGCTGCTGTTTTTTACACATTAAAGCTGCTGATTTTTACACATTAAGGCAGCTGATTTTTACAGATTAAGGCTGCTGATTTTTACACATAAAGGCTGCCTAATTTTACACATTAGGGCGGCTGATTTTTACACATTAAGGCTGCTGATTTTTACACATTAAGGCAGCTGATTTTTACAGATTAAGTCTGCTGATTTTTTCCTTTTCACCCTTTTGAAAAAAGGCAATAGTGAAAGGTTACGAATGGACGTTTTTGCAGAAAAACGTGGATTTTGGAGATTGCAGTAGGTGGGTCTGAATATGTCGTCAGTCCTTACGTTAGTAACCATGTCAACGAAAAAGTTGCGCGCGCGAGGATTGCTTGCGGAGATGTGATGTATAGATAGCCTGTGATCTATGAATGCGCGGCGCACCTGTGTTTTAATGTATACGATGTAATGTATAATATTAGGTTATAAGCCCAATTTGTACGTGGCACGCGTAGTGTATTGATGTGTACACGAGTATAGTTTACCTTTGCTTACAATTTAAGTTCTTTGCTTTACAAGTTAAGTTCTTTGGCAATTGAACTGAATTTCAAGTGTTTCCTGTACTTAATGCATAATTTATCAATATTATTATCATGAAGACAGAAGTGAGCTGATTGGAGCTTATACTTTATAGTAAATGTGAAATGGAAATCTAGCGTCCGCCAAAACGAAACAACGGGCGCAATTCTTGTTACACATAAAGGCTGCCGATTTTTACACATTAGGGCGGCTGATTTTTACACATAAAGGCCGCCGATTTTTACACATTAGGGCGGCTGATTTTTACACATTAAGGCTGCTGATTTTTTGCACATTAAGGCTGCTGATTTTTACACATTAAAGCTGCTGATTTTTACACAATAAGGCAGCTGATTTTTACAGATTAAGGCTGCTGATTTTTACACATAAAGGCTGCCGATTTTTACACATTAGGGCGGCTGATTTTTACACATAAAGGCCACCGATTTTTACACATTAGGGCGGCTGATTTTTACACATTAAGGCTGCTGATTTTTTGCACATTAAGGCTGCTGATTTTTACAGATTAAAGCTGCTGATTTTTACACAATAAGGCAGCTGATTTTTACAGATTAAGGCTGCTGATTTTTACACATAAAGGCTGCTGATTTTTACACATTAAGGCTGCTGATTTTTACACATAAAGGTTGCCGATTTTTACACATTAGGGCGGCTGATTTTTACACATTAAGGCTGCTGATTTTTACACATTAAGGCAATCCTACAGAGTCTGAGTCTTACAACCAAATTATCAGGAATAATCAAATTATCAGCAATACACTTATAGCCTTAAAGTAGCGTAAAAACAGTAGAGAATAAAATATAACGAATCCAACCTCCGGCAGGGAATCAAGTGTAAAAAAAGGGGGTCCGCCACTTCCATAGTAACCATAGTTACCATAGTGACTAACCCTCAGTAACCATAGTAACTAACCCAACCTCCGGCAGGGAATCAAGTGTAAAAAAAGGGGGTCCGCCACTTCCATAGTAACCATAGTAACCATAGTAACTAACCCTCAGCAGGGTCAAAAGGAAACCGCAACATGTGCGGAATTGCGATTTTTCCCATTATTTGCGACACATTTATAAGTGTATAGTCTTATGTATAGTCTGTTAAAAATCGCGGTATCGCGATTTTTGGGCAAAATAATCGCGATTTTCTTTTGTCCTTGACTCTCAGTAACCATAGTAACTAACCCAATCTCCGGCAGGAAATCAAGTGAAAGAAGAGGGGGGTCCGCCACTTCCATAGTAACCATTGTAACCATAGTAACCATAGTAACTTACCCAATCTCCGGCAGGAAATCAAGTGTAAAAAGAGGGGGGGGGGTCCGCCACTTCCATAGTAACCTAGTAACCATAGTAACTAACCCTCAGTAACCATAATAACTAACCCAATCTCCGGCAGGAAATCAAGTGTAAGAAGAAAGGGGGGTCCGCCACTTCCATAGTAACCATAGTAACCATAGTAACTAACCCAATCTCCGGCAGGAAATCAAGTGTAAAAAGAGGGGGGGTCCGCCACTTCCATAGTAACCATAATAACCATAGTAACCATAGTAACCATAGTAACTAACCCAATCTCCGGCAGGAAATCAAGTGTAAAAAGAGGGGGGGGGTCCGCCACTTCCATACTTACTATAGTAACCATACTAACTAACCCTCAGTAACCATAGTAACTAACCCAATCTCCGGCAGGAAATCAAGTGAAAAAAGAGGAGGGGTCCGCCACTTCCATAGTAACCATAGTAACTAACCCTCAGTAACCAAAGTTACTAACCCAATCTCCGGCAGGAAATCAAGTGTAAAAAGAGGAGGGGTCCGCCACTTCCACCCTTCGCCAGATGACAACTCTGCAGCAGGAGACCTCTCAGTTACCATTAGAGACGAGGAGAAAACAATCGGCAACGACATGGACGACAGTCTGGATTCGGGCCAAAACACCAAAAAAGTAGGCAGGAAGAAACGTCAAGCTGAGCGTCATGCCATCATCACCATGGTGACGGTGATAGCGTTTTTTATCATCACCTATACGCCGAGTTTCATTTGTTTCATAGTGCCGGGTATCTACGACATGGCTAAAGGTAACAACAACCTCTGGATCTTCCTCGTGGTAGATTACTGTACTTTTATAAACTCTACCTTTCTTCCCATGGTCCACTTTTCCCGGTCCGCCGGCTTCAAGAGACAGCTTAAAAACATCCAAAGTAAGATAATTAGAACGCTGAGACTAACGGGCAGCAAGAAAACCGTAGCAATAACCGATTCTAAAAGAGGGGCCACCATGAGGACAGTAGGGAGATCTGACTATAACGGGGATATTATGAGCGGTTCTGTTAACGACCAGCTAGACGAGAACAAAAGTAAAAACAATCTGATTAACAATTTACATAACAACCATTTCCGTGTGGATTCCCTGGCTCCAAAAGAGGTCACTCCGGTGACTTTGTGAGTGTGATATTTTATGGTAACTAGTAGTGTTACTATGGTAAATAGTAGTGTTACTATGGTAACTAGTAGTGTTACTATGGTAACTAGTAGTGTTACTATGGTAACTAGTATTGTTACTATGGTAACTAGTAGTGTTACTATGGTAACTAGTAGTGTTACTATGGTAACTAGTAGTGTTACTATGGTAACTAGTAGTGTTACTATGGTAACTAGTAGTGTTACTATGGTAACTAGTAGTGTTACTATGGTGATCACGAGTCAAGAACTGTGTAAGGGTTGCTTTCAGTGTTTTGAGATATATTGCGTATATTAATTATTATGTTGTATTTATTTTTGAATTGCAATATAGGTTTGCTCCATGTTCGGTTTTGTGACTGCCCTGAGGCCTTCCGTTACTTTATGTCGATTGACTAATAATACATCCGTCTATTACATCAGCGCATAAACGTACATTTTACGTACATTTCAATCCGTTATAAATTCCCAATGCAGCCAATAATTTTGATTTCTGTTTTGATTAATTTTCTTATTGTTAATGAAACTTTTTACCTACTATTTAAATTTTCCAAAATATCGTAACTGTTATTTTGTTCAAAAAACGAACCTAATTCGTATTATTAATAACAAACTGACTCATATATCCTCGGTAATAGTAGATCGCTTTATTTTTAAAGCTTGTCCCAAACTGCTCCTGAAAACTTGGCCGTTGACTACGGTGGAACTATCAAATAAATGCGATAACGAACCTTCATTCGAAAACCCCCCCCCCCCCCCTTGAATATTTTGATCGGGATTGAATTCAGTACCCTGTGTGGCGCCGTTCGACAGCGAGCGTGCTAAATCACTCTACAGTCAATCTTCGAGATCGTTCTAAAAGGACCCCCGACAGTTGAAACCAACTTCAATCGATGTATTTTTGGACGCTGATTCCGAATCACCCCCCATGACATAGGGTTTAACTTAAAATGCTCCCTGACGAAATATTGACGAAAACTGTCCAGATCACGTGATATGACCGTATAAGGAAGTTAGTCTAATTTCTCGTTAGGGTTAAGGTTTCAGCATTAATATTATATGCTTTTGTTAAGGATTGGGTTAGGGTTAGAGTTTGGATCAGATTAAAGGGTTAGGGTTTCGAAAAGTCGTTCAGGACCAGCTAGAGAACTGGTTGAAAAAGTCACGTGACAGTCGAGTGTAGAGCGCTCCTACTAAATCGCTCGCCCAAATTTTTTAAAAATTCTTGAGAAAAGGCCCTTTTGGTATGAAATTGATCTGATTCGGTGTATTTTTGGACGCTGATTCCAAATCACCGCCCATGACGTAGGGTAAAAATGCTTCCCTGGAGAGTTATGGGCAAAAAACCGTTTAATTGGTCACGTGACAGGCTAGTAAAACATGAATTCGATTGTTTAGGGTTAGGGTTAGGGTTAGGGTACGTTGTGGTAAGGGTTATGGATAGCTTCGGGGTTATGGTTAGGGTTTATGCAAAACCATAAAAACCAAAGTCACATGAAATTTTTGGGCGAGCGAATTAGTAAAAGCCAGTGTAGAGTGATTAATCATCATCCATTATTTAGGCCAAAAATCACAGTGCTGCGACATGCCAAACTAGGCAAAATCTTGGTTGACGATGTCAACCCATCGACATCGTTGCTCTGCGAAGAGCAACGATCGACGAGCAAGAATGGTAGTTCGCGCGGCGCGTCGAACCCACTGCGAGCTGATCATTCGCGAGGTGAAAATGAGCGCTGGGGACGATCTCTCTGAAATTTTACCTGTTGGTTCAGTGGACGATTTTAGCCACAGCGCCTTAAATTTAGCACGATCGTCCATAATCACACAAAGTTACAGCTAATTTAGTGATGTAAACACTCGTCGCAATATACTGGAATTGAATCGAGCGCGTTACTATGGTTACTGCGCGTTGATATGGTTACTAGATTTAGATTAGATTCATCGTTTTAGCGCGCGTAGCATGTAGCATTATTACAATTCTATCATATTGTCATATTATTATTAGATGCACGAGTTTAGCTGCATTTTACATTTAATTTCAGGAATCTGCAAGATTTGTAATCGATTAGATAATATTTAATTTCGTTCTTCATTCCTTGCTTGGCGGTCCTCATTTATGTATGTATTTTACCTGGGAGCGGGAACTCCAGGCTACGCTTTTCATTAACCGGGATGTAATTTTCATAAACCGATTAGAGTTTAGTCAGTATGACATGCTGATCGCCGCCAGACAGTTGAAAATTTGTTTCATACACATAAAATTGATTGTGTCATATCTGAGTTCTTGGCTGTATTTCGAAACCTCAGTCAGTTGTGGGTTTTTACCGGCCTAAATAAAAAGTCAAGTTTACAGGACATTTCTGGGGAACCTTACTATGTGTTTTACTTAACAAGATCAAAGATGCGAAGGTGAGGAAAAGGAAGCGTGCATTCGAGAGCGTATCATTTTGTACATTATAAATATATTACCCCGATCTGAAGCAGGAGGTGACCGGGATTGGCTATTTTGAGTTATCCCGGTCCCGGTCAACCGGGTCAAGTCACATTTTTCATCCCGGTCGCGGTCAAATGCTGATTTATGATCCCGGTCAATTCAGGATTCTTGGTCCCGGTCAATCACTCAAATTTGCCGGGATTTTGACCGGGATCTTTTACATAATTTCATTCACTGTGATTTTAAGTTTTTACTTTCATTCATTGTGAATTTCATCTTAAAACAACCTCTGAGCCAAATAAAACAATGTTTAAAATTGCTAAACAAGTTTAGGTAACTAATATCGTTACATAACTCATAAGTGCAAACTAACATCAAGTTTTCAACTCGGGCTACGCCCAATTGTCAATTGGAGAATGAAACTGTTGAATAATGAGGGATCATTGACTGAGGAATGAGGATGAACTTGAGTAATCAGTACATGAACATTATTGGTGTAGTACATTAGGCCCATGCCCCATATTGACGGGTTTTTTCTAGTTTTTTCTAATTTAATATTCTAGTTATTACTTATTCAAATTGTTCAATTATAATGTAAATGAAAGTTGCAGCTTTCAATATGAGAATACCAGTTTTGGTCCCGGTCATCCCGGTCATCCCGAAAAAATTGTATTGTTGGTCCCGGTCCCGGTAAGATAGAAATCCCAGAAATTATTGGTCCCGGTCCCGGTAAATTGATAATCTCAGTCCCGGTCCCGGTCAAGTCACATTTTGTATCCCGGTCCCGGTCCCGGTCAGGCCTAAAATCATGTCCCGGTCACCTCCTGATCTGAAGTTTGATGACTAGAAAACAGTGAATACAATTAATGTTTATTAATATTATTATCGAACTTCATATTATATTGTTTATCCTAAGTAAAGATCTGATAACTCTACAACAGGGAGCGGTTAAACTATAAATGGAAACAATTTAAATACTGAAACATAAACTAGTGTTAACATATCTATAATACGTTAACTTAAAACTTAATTACATCAACTTGCATGATTTAAAAAATTTTCCCTATAAAATACAGAGGCAATATCAAATATGGCACAGTTCAGTCAAATGAAAAAATCTGTTTGTTGATGGCACTGAAGAATATTTTGAAAAAAGCTACGATGAAAGTTGAAGGAACAGTTAAAGGAACACTATACCAATTTCAGAATGTAAATTTTCGTGTTTAAATATCATACTTTATAAGGTATAAAGTTTCGTATTATTAATCAAAAGTTGGTGTAATATCACACGTAACACGTTTTAGATATTAAACAGAAGAAAGTTTTTTGTCCTAGATCAAGAGCTGCTCATTTCTCACAAGCAGTGTGGTCGGGGTTCTGTTCTTCGATTCTTGCTGCCTTTGTCTTTCGCACGCAAGTAGGAGTACCCTGAGGATTAGAGGCAATAATAATAATAACGCTTTATTTGTATACCGCTTAGGCCGTATAATCAACCATGAATTATTAAAATTTTATAGTTCTACAATTGGAACCTGCGACTTGTTTTGCAGTGAATCACAATCCAGACGAAATGTGTAATTTTAAAAAGTATAGGTACACACCTGTCCGTAGTTTCTCGTACATCACGCGTGACGTCCGGCTAGAAGGAGTTTCTCCCAGGTCTGCTGTCTAGGAAGAGAGAATGGGAGATGAGAGCTGTTTGAGCTTTATGACTTCACTTAACAGCCAGAGGTGCCATAAGCTAACTCGTCGTAAATTGCGAGCTCTGGCAGGTATCCTCGGGTGATTGTCAGATGAGATGGTGGTCCAAAAGAAACTGCTGGGAGCCTGACAGAAAACCGTATTGCAAGCCCCGAAACGGTGTCAGGTTTGTGACTGAAGATTCTGATCAAGCTCAGGGTTGAGTCTACACAGTGTCGCCACTTGCCGATGCCAGTTGATGCGACAGGACACTGATTTAAGTGGGAAGTTGTGTCTAAGAAACAGCGTGTGGTTCGGGTGCCGGTTGAACGCATGTAATAGGGAGGGTATATCCGTATTTCGCTGCTAGGAGGTGGTCCGCAGATTGCGTGAAGATGCCTACTTTTGAACCTATCAATAGGTTCAATAGGTAGGTGCTAGTGAAGCAGTCCTTGACCCGGAAGTTAAGGCTTCCCCGTTTCTCGCTCATTTGTGCTCCGACGTTCTTGTGACCTCTGCAGGGGTCAAGTGCAGGATGAGGGACATGGCCGACCAGGAGAAGGTTGTTTTAGAGAGGTATTTTTATACAGTTTAACTGTATCATTACCCTTGGAAATCTCTCGACCCAAACGATGCCAAATTCTGCCTCCGAGCACAAGTACTTTGTAGGGGGTCAGCGAGTCATTTCATGTCTATTGTTCAATGTCGTTGAGTACAGGGGAAGTTAGCTGCTGTCTACTGCCGTTATTCTCCAATTCTTAGAGTTCGTCTTTCGCACGTGAGTAAGTTTCCTGGGGAAAATAAATAGTCAACCAAAAATTATTAATAATAAACATAGATGGACTTCCCACAATTATAACCAGTAAATCTGACACCTGCTAGCTGGCGTAAATTTAAAATTTAACACGCAGTGCGCGCGCCGCGCGCTAAAAATATCTCAAATTTGAAAACTGATGTGGTTTTTACCGAAAATCGAATTCGCGCCAGCCGCCATCAGAAAATGCAGTAGATGAATTCATAAATTTGGAACATGGGCACATCACAGTATTGGCCGTATTTGAGTGCTGGGAAGGCTCAGTTCGGATTTCTAAGATGGATATAGCCGTAAGCTAGGCCTAGGAACCATAAAAAGTCGTATAAAACTACCCATGGAATGACCAGAAATGAACGAAAATGAACATTCTTCTCAAAGTGCTCAGAATGGTTTAAAATGGGTCGGAAAGTGTTTATATTAGTCCTAGGACCACTCAAACCAAGTTTGAGAATCATTACATGTCTAGAACCGATGTTACCAATGTTCCAAAATGTCCCAATTTTGGCACAATAATCCTCCTGAGAATCCAGATTTTTGGAACATGGGCACATCGAAGTATTGGCTGTATTTAAGTGCTGGGAAGCCTCAATTCGGTTTTCTAAGATGGATGTAGGTAAAAACTAGGCCTAAGAGCCATCAAAACTCAAATAACATTACCCAGGTTCATGGAATGTATGGAAAATGAACAAAAATGAAAATAGTAGTTGAGATGGTGGAAACATTTGATACAATTTTGGAAACATGCTTTTACAGCCGTATTTATGCTTGTACTGACTTGGACATGTTCATAAAAAGGTGGCACTAGAGATTGATTTTTCACTGCCAAAATTGTGTGAAGCATTTTAAAATACTTGTATCTCAAGGAGTATGCTATGAAAGTTAACCAAATTTTAATGTGGTCCAAAAAGATCCAAATGTCACATAATAAAGTCATTCATCTCTTTATATCTGTTAATTGTGCAGATATGAGCCAGAAATCACAAAATATTCATTTCTTGCACCTCTAATCATGAATTTACATTCTGTGAGTGTGTCCTGCTTCTCAATGTGATTATTGAACCTTTTTGAGATAGCTGAGTTTTAAAAGTGCAAAGAATCACCGGTTAAATGTGGAGTTACGATGCAATTATCACATACAGGGTTAATTCTGACTAAGTATTTTAGAATGATGAATGTGATATGAATATCAACGGAATGATTGTAACAATGAACTCTATCAATGTCAATTATATCATGCTAACTAATATTTAGAGAATTTAGATGGTTAAAAGTGCCATAATGAGTCAAAAATCACATAAATGAGCATGTATTGAAATTATGCTGTATCAGGGGAATGTACACTGTCCATTTGAACACTGTCCATTAGTACTCCGATGAAAAAGCGATGAATGTCGATTTGCCGTGATTCTAGCTTTGTGTGTTATTGTGTGATTTCAATGCACGGCAATGAAGGGACTCAGGTACCACGATCTGGCAGACAAACATGTCTGAACAGTCAGATCTGGTTCAGGAAATTTTATCGTTAAAGAGATATTCATATTTCATATGAATCAATACTCAGGTTTCTAATTTTGGACTCGCCCGGGGTTTGATTATGATACTTTGAGGAATGACATTTGATTTATAAGTTGATTTCAAATCCCCTATGGGTACCAGAAATACTGGTTTCACAACAACAACATCACTTTTTGGCTCTATATCAGGTTGGTATTCATAGTAAATCTGCAGTGATTTGTTGTGACACTGCACTTGTTTATGGTCATGGAGAAGTTCGTTATTAGAGTAATAGTGGAATCAATAATCACAAAACACTGATTTTAAACTGATTAAACTAGGCAAGTACTTTTACTACTCAAGCCATGATAATTTTGTCTCCATACTGTGACAAATGAATCAATCAGTTACGTATAATACTTAATTGAATTTTTGAAATGTGATTATCGATTCATTACCTTTCTTTTCAAAATGTCATTACAAATTGAACATTACATATGATTCAATTGTCATACTTTAAAGAAAATTACATAGTTGGTAGCCAGATTTGTGTGATTTTTGAATCATTTAACCACCCAGATCAAAAATTATCGCTCAAAGGCCTTCAATATGGTATAAGCTTAGACATGGATTCAAAAATCACATAATAAGAACCATAGAATGGATATATGTTGTCATATTGTGCACTTAATTTAAGGCTTACTATAGTGAGACTTAATAGCGCACCAATAACGAAAATGTGATTTTTGAATCATATTAACTGGTTTTAATACTATTTAATACTATTTTGTACCCTAAAAAATGATAGAAAGCCAATAAAAACGTAAGATGATTCAATAATCACTGCTCAAAATAGGCTCATTTCCAATGTTTAAGTTGTGATTTTTGAATCATTTTGGCACCAATAACAATTTCAGATAAGACATTTTATTCCTTACATGCATTATAGTCACCATATCAATTTTGGCGTCTTTGTGAATAGTACTTTTCAGATTATCTAGTGTTGATTCATCTTGCATTTCTAATTGTGTGATTTTTGAATCATTGGCACACAAATAACGATAACTCCTGTGATATAAGCACTACAGACTCCGTGATTTCAGGATCATGAAATTTAATCGAATTTCTAAAGGTATAGATAGATATATCAACCAACAAAGAGCAATGACCATTTTTAAAACTCATTTAAAAAAAATCAATCTCTAGTGCCACCTTTTTTTGAACGTGTCCACTTGGAATCTATCTGGTATGGTAGAAGGACACATGTACTAACATTTCCAGCCACTTAGACTTGCAAAATACTCCCCTGGTTCATGGAATGAATGAAATGAACACAAAATGAACATTTTCCTAGAATCCCCTGAATTGGGCTAAAACCAATTGGAATCGGTCGGTATTGATACCAGGAGTGTCCCTGAGAAGTTTGGTGTGCCTAGCATGTTCAAAAAGGGCTCTGGGGCAATGTTTCTATTTTGGTTTCAGAGTAGTTGAGATGGTGGAAACAATTGACACAAATTTAGAAACATGCTTTTTAGCGGTAATTATGCCTGGACTGGCATGGAATCGATATTGTATGGTAGAGGGGCATATTGTTTACTAACATGTTCAGCAACTCAGAAGTTTTTTTCTTTGAAATTTAATACTCCACCGAAGGGATAGGGTGCGTCAAGAATCATCCAGTTTCACATCGAAAGCACTATTTTCACACATCAAATTGTGACATTTTTTGTTCAACTTTAAAAAAACCTTTTTAGTGCAAAATGATCCCCTGGTTCATGAAATGAACAAAAATGAACTTTACCCTAAAATCGCCTAAACTGAGTTGAAGGCGATCAGAATCGATTGGTATCGATACCAGGAGTGTCCTTGAAAAGTTTGGTGGCCCTAGCATCCTCAGAAAAGGCTTTGTGGGCAATGTTCCATTTTGGTTTCAGAGAAGTTGGGATTCTGGAACAGAATTGAGACAAATTTGGAACAGGCTTTTTGGGCAGTAATTATGCCTTGGCTGACTTAAAATCGATCTGGTATGGTGGAGGGGTATATTAACTACATTTGGGGTATATTAACTACTTTGGGTGTTTTCAAATTAAAGATTTCAAAGCCAGATTTTCGGCTTAAGTTGGCTGGGACATGCCCAAATTGTATATGCTTTGATCGTGATCGGGTTTTCAAAAATAAACGATTTACCTTTCGCATATGATGGACTTTTTCCCGAAGAAGGTGGGTATTTTATCCTTGTAGTTTTCCAGAGAAGGACGTAGTCTTTTCCACATCTCTGTCATCAGTGAAGTCCTCTCGATTAAACGGTACCTTTTTGGCACTCCTGAGATAATTGACTGTCTTATACACAATGGTTTTACCGTTTACAACATTTGCAGTAATATTTATTACCGAATTTAATTAGAATTTAACCCATACATTTTAAACACATGAACTGCTGTATCAGTAACCATCAAAATAGAGACAAACCTATGAATTTGATGTTTATCTTGTTAAGTGGGAGGTTAACCTCTTCTTGACACAAAATACCAAGTCGTCTCCTGAGATCTCCGACATGACAGAGGAAGCTACTGTCGAGTTCGATATTACAGCTAACCTAAGATAGTCAAACTGAGTGGGATCAATTTTAAGCATTACAAATCAGCAGTTATCAAGCAAATGTGATGAAAGAGCCATTATTGAAATGTAAGGCAGATCTAGAGCTAGGAATGTGTTTCGGGGCATCAAAGAATAAGTATCTGTGTACTGTTCTTTACCATACCATTTAAACGATTTAATACATGGAAGTATCACAATAATATACTTTTTCAAAAACATACACATTTAAAAAAAGGCTCGAATAGGTTATCGATATTTCCATATAATGCAGGATTGAAATAATCTGTTTAGGAGTAATACGTTCAAATTCGATCCTGATCTACAAAAGTGTAACATGATAGCAAAATCCGCTGTGCTTTTCTATACTAGAACAAGTTTTAGTAGTCTCCAGCACATCACAGCTTAAAGGCAGTAACACTAAATCGATTACATTAAATAACCTCTCAAGATCATTTAGTAATATCTGTATTTCAATGTTCAACGAAACGGCTTCTATACTACTTTACTACTTCTATACTACTTTACTATCAACTAGATATACGGTTTGAGCATTGAAGCTCTATGCTGTGAGCAGCAACGAAAAGAGATGGGATTGCAATATATCGACTCACTTGTGAAAATAATGATTAAATCTCAAATCTCACTTGTTCAGAACAATTACGATTTTTAACTGCGCGGCGTAGTGCGTACTTTGAAATCCAAATAAAAATTATTTTTGATCAAAATATTGGAAAACAAAATTACAACATGATTCAAATCTTGTGTAAAAAAATGTGATAAACAATATGCTGTTAAAAACTTTCGTGAAAAATTTTAAAAAGCATGATTTCCACCCGATTATGTGAAGTTATCATTTTTATGACTTTTACAGGTTATAATTTTTGTCAAGAGCTTAGCCATTTGTCAAAATTTAGGTCATGGTATCATGTTATGTGACTATACAATGAGATTATAATCCGTTGATGTATAATATCTTGGAGTTTATCAGGGGATAAAATTATTTGTAGGTTTATAAACTACCAAAACGCGCGCTGGGTTGGACTCGTTGTATAATAATAATGTATAACTATCAATACATGATACACGATAACGTAAAACTATATAAATCGATAACATATAAGATCAAATAAACCATATGGTACCAAGTTACATTAATTGATGAAATCTTTCCATGTTTTAGAATGAAAATCCATATTACACAAATATTCCTAGCTTTAAGTATGACACACATTATTACATGATAACGAATTGATTTAACGCGCATATGCAAAATATATTGTAATTGTATAAGAATCGACCTTGTTTTTTAAAGATTAGTCATTTAAAGTATCGATGAGAAAATCCCTGTACAAATAGCTTTTACTTATAATCCGATAATTTGTGTTGTATGATGCAATGAAAATACTCATACCGCGCGCGCAGCTTGAACTACGACATACGCAAGCGTTCAGTTGCAAATTATAAGGTCTACCGAAGTTTGTAGGGCGCGAAAAATTTTATGTTGACGTGCTCGCGCATTCTGAGTAGTCAGCTCGCGTTGGGAAGCGGCGAAGTCCTCCAAGGCAAAATCACAGCGAAAATTTTAAAAATCGCGACGAAATATAATGTATTTGCAGAGCAAAGTTAGATGTCATATATTCGTTAACTAGCTTGATATAGTTAGATTAGATATAAAGAATAAATACTGAGCAGAGCTTGCTTTTAGATCAGCCATTCCAGACGATCTCGAAAGTTCCTCCCAGCTCGCCAGACCTAGCCAGACCGGAACTCACTGTTCCACTTCTGTACTCATATTATATTAATCAACTATATACAGCAAACACAAGATAATAGAAAATAAATCATAAAATCGAGTGGCCGAGTAGTCTCGACTCACCCATAGCTTCTCCATAAGCGTCTATCATGAGCTTTGAGTTTGTACACTAAATCGTTGAAATTACTTAAACTAAATCTTTTATTTACAATCACAATAATGTTCTTTGTCATAATGTCTTTCAATAATAAATCAAATAAATTTGAACGAGGTCTGCCCCTTTTTCCTTTGTAGTCAAGACATCCTAAACATGCAAATCTGAAAGATAAGAAGGCGGGATCGGAGTGTCATCACTGCTTCTGAGAACGTGCCCAAGCATCTTCCATTTTGCTTTCTTGATCCTTTCAGTAAGGGGTCTGACGTTACATCTCTTATATAAATTCTCGTTACTGATAACCGTAGGCCAATAGGTGTTGATTATCTGTCTCAGATGCTTCCTTTGAAGAACGTCGACAGATGCCATTACGGTTTCAGGAGCAGCCCAGCTGCTACAGTTATACAACAACACTGAAGTGACAAGAGCTTCGTACAGCTTCAGCTTTCTACTCTCACTGATCTGAACAGAACTATTCAACCAGACTTTCTTGTAGGTGTAGAAGGCAACATTGGCTTTGTTGCGTCTGTTGACAATATCTCTTTCTGAACAGAGCTTTGATCCTAATAGCACTGACTCTCGCCACTCTTCATCTCCTCTAATTTTATTGCCATGGGCATCTAAAGCATCTGTATCTGCCAAATACACTCTTGTAAACACCGTCTTTGATTCGTTAAAGGATGAGGGGACCTTAGAATTTACTTCCAAATATTCGCGTTTAAGTCCTGTGAAAGTGTGTAGAATCAAAAAATACGCCGGACTGTGAAATCGATAATTCGTGCAATATCACGCCGCGCTCCTATTGGCTGATAGCAATTTTGGGCTGTGACGTCACTTATGTGTTAAGACCAACGTGCGCGCGCACCCTTTGCTCGTGTCAACATTTTGTTCTGTTCTGTTTTAATTACGTCGTGTTACCTTTGGCGTTTGCGAGAGCGGTATCTTTGGTTGCACTGAATTAGTCTAAGTTACGAATAATTCTCTTTAATAATAATAGTTAAATGTAACTCAGAAAGGCTTTCTTGTAGTTGTAGTAGGTATTTCTATTTATAAATAGCTAAGATAAGTAGCATCCGGTAACTAAACCACAAACTGCTATTTTGTTTTGACTTGTTTGAAACCCGATATGGACACAATTAAAAAGAATGTATGATGTAGTAGAAGACATTTTACTAGCTGGCCCTTGGCGCCTCTAGTCCTATCTGAGTACGCACGTGCGGTTTGACACTGCGCTGTACCGGCCTTTAGTTGTAAACTCATTTATAATTTACCGTTTTAGTTTGCTGTGACTTGAGTGTAAAGCGTAACGAATGTGGATGTGTTCGTCTGCTATGCTTGGTATAATATTGCTTGGTGTAATAGTTGCAAATCTTGCTTACGTTATAAGTAGTGTCACATAGTGAGTTAGAACTTAAAAGCTTGGTGCTTGTCCAACTGGAATGAAGACATGCATTTCATACCTACCCGATCCATTTTTATTAGGACCGTGTAGTAGATGGGAATGTATGAAGGCCAGTCATCAAGTGACTCCCAGCCACTCACAGCACGCCCTCAGGTCACATGACAACACGTCACAAGGGTCACGTGACAGATCACATGTCATGTAACCACGTGACAAGCTCGTTAATTAAATGTCAAGGTCACGTGACAAGATAATCGACCAATGAGGAGCCAGAACGTCATGACAAATCAATCAATAATCCCGACTAAAGGATCTAAAGTCTGATTAAACGGTCGCCAAGCAGGTTCCTGTTACTTGAATGTAATCATGTGACATGAATGTTATTGAACCTCGAGATCACGTGACAGGAGTCACTTGATTACCCGTCAGAACGTCATGATGAATAATTCAATAATCCTGTCTAAAGGATCTAAAGTCAGATTAAACGGTTGCCAATCACTTGGCTCCTGTCACTTGATTACCGGTCAAATGATTTTTCACGATTTACCCCGGTCCAGTCACCACTCCAAATAAGTAGAGGGTGACATAACGAAATGTGGTGTAGGGTTACCATCGCTCGACCTCCTGGAAATTACAAGGCTTATCATCAATTTTCTGACATTTAAGCAATAGCCACAGTATCTGAACCACATTTTTACCCTTTAAGATATAACAACTGTTAGGTAGCCTAGTGGTTAGAGCATCCGCCTTCTGCATAAAAGGTTCAGGGCGAATCCCATTGTCACCCTGCAGTCTAGGGAGTAGCAAAGGCTCCATACCATTGACTATTATTAACTACTAAATTTGCGTGTTATAAATTTGGTGTATTTCAAGAGACGAATAAAACTACCGTTTTATGATAATTTTTTTGTTATCACCATAATCATAAATTGAAATCATCAAGAGTAAGATTGGGTACATAAATCAATCTATAACAGTTGTACGTTAATGGGGTTCTAGTACAGGTAGCTAGTTCCACCAACTACTTATTCAGATAAAGTTTGAGAATCTTATCGACAATAGTTGTGTTTTCGTTCATCAGTTTGTTTACATCAGATAGACTTGTAGTGTTGATAACTGCATCCAATAGAGCTCGTTCTTCCAAACTTAAAATACCTGTTATGTCTTTTCCGTTGTCAATGAAACGCTGCTTCAAGTCCACAAACAATTCGGTTTTCATCATGTATGAGAATAACATGTCAAAACATTTATCTTGCTCTTTACACAATTTACTTTGTAACATGACGTCTATAGATTTAAGTAATTTCGATATCTTTTTCTTGTTTGGTTGTTTGATTGGTACTCCTTTCCGCTTGCCTACGTGTTTCCAGTCAGTATCAGATTCTAACTCTTTAGCACTATATTCTTTGTTGGACTCATCATCGCTACTTGTTACACCACTAAATTCATCATCACCACTACCTGGTACATCAGAGTTAGAACCACCTTGCTGAGATTCTTCAGAAACTATTGTATCAGCATCTGAACATACAGAATCAGGACCCTCCATTTTGACATCAGTCGCATCTGAGTTAGCTTTTGACAGTGGCTGTAGAATTGCAGAACTTTGATCTAACTCTCGGTTCTCTCGATGATACCTACTAATGTGTGAGGACAGACTATATTTATTGGCAAAAGACTTGTCACAGAATGAGCAGGTTACAGAATTCATAACTGCAGTACAAACGTTTTATAATGCTATGCAACAACCATTATATAGCAATAATCGCATAAAATCGCAAATAATCGCAAAATAATCGCATATAATCGCATATATTAGCATATAATTGCATATAATAGCATAAAATT